ACAACAATGTAACACAACGGCTGAGCAGTGGTGGCGTTTCCAGCTCTCATATTTTTAATAATGCGGTCAAGATGCCTATGGGATATAATGAATCATACAGACTTGGTGGGTAAGAGGATGCAAGAGGCAGGAATCTGAGAACAGTGGAGGACTCCTCTGCAGGGCTGTCGGTTCTGCTTATGGACAAGTGCTCCCACCTCCTGTGGTTCAATCTAGTCGGTGGAACCCCTAAAAGCAGGAGCTTTCCTTTTGGCTCCCTTTATTAGTCATTTCTTTGTGTCTCCCAATTGTACATGCAACCTGCAATTCCTCCATCTCTCAGCTGAAGAGAGAAATTGCTGAGACCATGGAAGGAACATCTCTCATTGATCACGGGTGGTACTTCCCACTTGGGTCCATCTTCCCGCCGGCCGTACTCAGGGGTGTCCGGTGCCCAGGATGCCTGACCAGTCTTGCTCAGCTCACCCACCACCGGGGCTGCAGGCAGAGGGCATCCCCTGGGATTCCTTCCACTGCTGCAGTGACACTATGCCCTTCCCAGGAAAACCTCCTCCGGGCAGGGACCCCGCACTACTTCCTCCTCCACCTGCCATCTCTCCTCTCCCTTCCTCTTCCTCCCCGAAATTCTACTTCTCAAGTGCACACTAAGTATATTTTACAGCTTTGAGTCCATTATTTTCATGCATGTCAAGCCCACAAAGCACGTTCACTAATGGTAGGAAATAGTGTTGGCTTTTTTTGCACAGATGCTATTTTCTTTTTTTTTCTTTTTTTTAAATATATTTTATTGATTTTTTACAGAGAGGAAGGGAGAGAGATAGAGAGTTAGAAACATCGACGAGAGAGAGACATCGATCAGCTGCCTCCTGCACATCTCCCACTGGGGATGTGCCCGCAACCAAGGCACATGCCCTTGACCGGAATCGAACCCGGGACCCTTCAGTCCGCAGGCCAACGCTCCATCCACTGAGCCAAACCGGTTTTGGCCACAGATGCTCTTTTCATTGTGGAATTTCTTTACTTGCTTTAGCCGCTCTCTGTGAAATGACCTCAGTCTAGCAGACCCTGCCCCACCCAGCATCCTCTAAGCTCCTGCAAGGCTGTTGCCCTGGAGACGATTACTTCGAGTTTTGAGGGACGTGGAACAAAAGGAGGGGAGATGCCAAAAATAAGAAAAGAAAAAAGATAGAAATCATAACGTTTAAAATTGAATGGAGAGGGGAATTTGATAAAATGCTGTCAGAAATCCAATAAAAGACTGAACCAGAATGAAGTGGCTGAAACCAAAACGACCTCTCAACCTCCCTTGTCCAAACCCTCCGTAATAAGAGCATATGAAAGCACTGAGTTTTTCTGAAACTCGATGTCAAAAGAGCATTTCTGTTCTTTTCTTCCCAGACAAAGTGAGCATGTTGTCAGCCTTCATCGCTCCCTTCAAGCACTTGAGCCCTGGGGCCACTAACACGGAGGATGACGACAATCTAAGTAAGCAACCCCGTCCCTGAAGAGGGGGTTCCCAGCCTGATGTCCCCAAAGACCGGGATCTTTGGGGTGATGTGGGGGGCAGGGGGGACAGAGGGGCACTATCTGGGTTTCCCAGAACAGGAGGTTTTCTTCCTGTCCCCACCTGGGGTCCTACCCTCACCTGGGGGGTAGGGAAATACTAGTGGTATGATTGAGAACTCCAGGGGTTTTGTGTGTGTGTATCCTTTTTTTTTTTTTTTTTAGTTATCTTAGGCCATCCTTCCTCTCTTTCCTGTGTTTTTCCTTCAAAAAAAGAAGAAGAAAGAAAGAAAAAGAACATAGTCTCTTTGAACACAGTTCGTACAATTATTTAACATGGGAAGAGCTGGCCGGGTGCCTGCTTGTTGAAACATCTCTGGCACGTGAAACTGGAGAGACACCCGCAGTGTGGTGCGGGGACCGAAACGCTGGCTTGGGGGAGGGGACCTCAGCAGTGTCCCTGCACAGACTACTGAGGAGGCAGAGCCCAGGGACTGGGGTGGGAGGGTCTAGGTGTGACTGCCATGCATTATACTCGCCTCTGGTGTGTAGCATATTGCCAGGCATTTAAACAAGGGGGTGAACATTCAAAGCCATATGAACACCTCTTACGTTTCAACATTACCTATCAGAGGGGTCTCCTTCTCAGCCAGAAAGAGGTGGGAGCGTGCTTGCTGTCCTGGGATGGGAATTACAGGCAGTCACTAGGATCATTGACCTGACCAAGCAGCAGCAGTGGGGGTGGGAGTTGCATGGGAATGTTGTCCCTTTGCCATCAGCTCTTAAGAAGCATGACACATCTGCATGGATAGCCCCTTCCCACAAACATAACTATCAACAAGACTGAAAATGAGGTGATTGCTCTCGGTTATCTCACTGAAGCAAAGTCGAAGAATCACTGGGTGTCAAGCCAGAGCAAACCCTAGAGATGCTCTAGTTTTAGTCCTTTGTTTTCTAGATAAGGAAGGAAAGGTGTGGAGGATGCGGAGAAAGTCACCTAGGAAACAGAACACAGGTGTCCTGGCTATCCGTTAGGGCTCCTTCCTCAGCGAACACCTAGGTCACAGTGGAACGTGAACTAACGGTTGTTTCTGTCTCTCATGATTGGAAAACTCCTAGAATGTAGTCAACGTATTGCTAGCAGGAGGAATAAAATTTTACTGTTTCCATGTCTTTCCCACCGAGCTGTGGAAGCCCTGGCTGTTAGCCTCTCCACGTGGAAGTAGCTCTCCCCTCCCAACGGCTCCCAGGCTAATGACTTGTGATGCCAGAATAGTTCTAAAAGCAGAAGCCCAGTGGGCACACCCCTGGTGCCATCTCCATGTCACTAGCCCTGTGCTCTATGGTCACTAGCCTTGCTATGAATATCACTGCTCAGACTCTCAGAAACTCGTTCCTAAGACAGGGACAGTGACATGGAATTGAGGTCAGAATCAAATAAGATAGCACAAGAAGACGTTTTAGACAAGGACCTGGGACATATAAATGCTCTATCCAGGTTGGTTAGTGCCGGTAATTAAGGGTATTTTTTCCTAATTCAGCTCACTGACTAGTAGGTAAAAACTTACAGATAAGAGTGAATTTTATTTATTACATGTTAAAATGCCTTTGAAATGCTTGGAAAGTCTTATTTTCTATCAGTGGATTAGTCATCCCCTTTGTAATATGTGCTTGTTAATATACTTAGAAAACCCTATTTTCATACACTGTTCAAAGATACACCTCCAAGTGAATGCGTTTGTCTTACTCAACATTTCTCGCTACCATTACCCATGCAGCCCCTCAACTTACTGCCCAAATGCCACTGGGTGGTGAAAGAGAAAGAGTGCACCTCCCCTAAAGAGTGTGTGTGTGTGTGTGTGTGTGTGTGTGTGTGTAAAGTATGTGCGGTGTGCATGGTGTATGTGTGATGTGTGTGTGTGGTGTATGTTCTGTGTTTTGCGGGACCTGTAATTTGTGCAAGGTATATAATAACTGTTATGTGTATGGTGTGTGTGTTCATATATGTGGTATATGTGCAAAGTTTGTATAATGTGTGTGGTATGTATATTATGTATGTCTGTGTGTGTTGTGTGTAATGTGGGTGCAAAGTATGTGTGCATGGTGTATGTAATGTGTGTCTAAATGTATGTTGTGTGTGGTGTGTGTAAAGTGTATGTGGTGTGTGTGATGTATGTGTAGTGTGGTGTGTATAATGGATGTTCACTGTGTGTGCATGTGTGTACACACACATATGCAGGGAGGAAAGGTAGGTGGTAGAGACTTGCTTTGAAGTCTCTTGTTTGTATCTACAAACTAGGAAACGGGTGTGTCTGGGTTGGTTTAGGATGAAGTTCCACGATTGAGGACCATCTCCCTCCCGTGGCTCCGGTGATCACCTCTAATCCTTCCCTCGGGCTGAGCTCCAATGTCCAGGGCTGAGCCGGGGTCAGGGATCCATAGCCAGACAGAGACTCGGCCTGAGAGGGGCCAGTGCTTGGTGAGCCCACCTGGCAGCCAGCCATCAGCAGGCTGGTTTCTGGCTCACAGTCAGCCAGATAATGCCATGTTTCAGCCCACACCTATGCTGGGAACCCTGAAAGCTTTCTTCTTCAAACACTGAGGAGAGTGGTTGCTGGCCCTGCCCCATCGCCTCTGCCCCTGCCCCATCGCCTCTGCCCCTGACACCGACCAGAGGTGTTACCTGAGAAGAGTTGAGACACAGATCCGGGCAGGGCCACAGGCCTGAACAGTCCATGCCCTTTGCATGTGTCTGAAGGAGGGCAGCCCTGCTACCCTGAGATGCCGGCAGCTCAGCTCCCAGGCAGCAGGACAGGTCTTGGAAGGAGGCTGTGCTGTCCTGCTGCAGAGCCTGATCCGAGACCATCAGTGACTGGCCCGTGTATGACCACACAGCCAGGACCTTGCAATCCATATTGCAAGTCACCAGGCCTGCCGGACCGGCCGCCACAGCCTCCCTGCTTTCTTACCCTGAAGCACAAAGACCTTCTTCCTGCACAAATGGAGAGAAGGCCCCCATTGCTCCTATCACTGCCTGGTCTGGGTAGAATGGGTGGATCGAACATTGCCCTCTGACCTGCAGACACAGTAGTGTCATTATTAGTGAGGCAGCATGAGGAAAAGTTCCCAACAACTCAACTACTGCAAACACCAGCTGCATATTGACCAGACGCTGGTCTGGGAACAGGGACGCGGAGGAGGCAGATGCTGGCACCTCACATGAGCACCTGCATTCTGAGCAGTGATAACACGGTGAGACGGCAGCCAGGACCTCCCAGTCATTGAACTTCGTTCTGAGAGATGTATTTCACCTGGAAAATAAATGTTTAACCACAGCCATGATATATAAAATTCCACCCTTTCTCCCCAAAATGCCCATTAGTCACTTATCAGATAGGTTATCAGAGAGAAAGAGAGAGACATCCACCTAATGTTCATTACAGTATAATTGTTATAATTGTTCTCTTATTATTTGTTATTGTTAATCTCTTACTGTGCCTCATTTGTAAATTAAACTTTGTCATAGGTAGGTATGTATAGGAAAGAACATAGAATATATAGGGTTTGTACTATTTGAGCTTTCAGGTAGCCACTGAGGGTCTTGGAATGTACCCCCCACCAATAAGGGGGAACGACACTATTTTCTGATGTGTCAGGGTTTTTTCCTGAGCCTATTATATGTGTTCCTTCAGTTCAACTTCATAATAATCCTGTTGGGGGTATAGCTCAGTGGTAGAGCTTTTGACTGCATAATAATCCTGTAAGTCAAGCATTATTAAAACCCACATGTTCCATCTTAAGAACATGGAGTGTGGGTAGTTTGAGAGACTTGTCCAAGGTCACACCTACAGGAAGGATGGAGAGGGCTTTCCCTAGAGCCAGTGGAGTGGCCCCGTCCCCCCCTCTGCCTGGTTCGGGCTCAGCACCCCAGCGGAAACCAGCATGTGGGCTGTGCTGGAGGGAGCTGGGCCCCCAATCTGCTCACTTGCAAAAACCAGTGGGTAGCATCGCTCCAGAGATTGTAGCTAGTGTATCCAGGAGAAGGCCAGAGCTCTGCATTGTTATCAGTTATTAGATATTGATCAATTTGGAAGGATGCTTCCTGCCACCGTCTGATCATCATGTCTAGGCCGTTGAAAACTAATAATGACCATCGTCATCGGGTACTGAGTGCATGGGAGAGAAGAGCCCAGAAGCAATCTTGGTGAGGGGAGGGGAAGTTCCCCACCGGGAGGGCTGTTGCTCCAAGATAAACCTTTCTACTTGAAAAGGCAGCCGAGGTCATCTGATACGCGGGCCACCTTAATCACAGGCGCGGCTCCCTCCGTCCCCACATCGTGAGAAATCAATAAGAAATCAGAGCACCCAGTAAGTTTCAGGCAATCTGTTGTGCAGCTCTTTGGCCAGGTTATTTTTTTTCCATCGTTATGTCCGATCTGGGAAGCTGTGTGGTTAATCCAACCCACTGCCCTGGGCCTGAGATACCCGCAGGGGCGGGACCCAGGTGCGTAATGACGCAGAGAGGGACTGAGTGGGCGCTCGATACCTGCAGGTAATTATTCCTACAGAATAGTCTGTGAGCGATGCCATCCACCTCTAACTTATAAAAGGCTCGAGTTTACTCCTTTGGACAGAATTAGCTCTACAGACTTATAGACACAAACCACCAGGGGACATATAACAGAGCCGCCTCGCAACTTAGAGAACAGAGCCCATACGCAGCCGACGGATCTGCAAACAGCCCTGACTCTCACCACAGCCCGGACTCTCACCACCGCCTGGGGACTGCCGGGGCTGGTGGCCAAGGCATTACCAAGAGCCCCGGAGCTGGAAGGACACACAACCCGGGACCCAGAGAGGAGCCTTGCCCAGTGTGAGACACCGCCCAGAGACACCCATTGGAACTTTCCCATTATTCTCCACTGCAGAGCCATGAGGATGAGGGTCTCCCCAGCTCGGGCCAGGCTGATGGGAAAGTGCTCAGTGTCCATTTATAAGCTGCAGGCTGGCTGTAAAAATCACCCCAAGTTCCCACTTGCTTCACAAGAGAAAACTCATTGCCAACCTGCTGCCCAGCCACCTGGAGCCCCCGAGATCCTGGTTCCCACGGAGAAATCGAAGGGCTCAGAGGTGCATCTGCCTGGGGTCCCAGCTCTGCGTGGAGTCCCGGCCCTGCCTCCTTGCCTCACACATTCGCCCTCTCCAATGGCAGGCTATGCACTCTCAGCACCTCATTCCCTCCCAGCGACGGGCATCCCTGTGAAATGGCTAAGGAATGTGGCACTGTCGGTACCCATACATCCACCTTCAGAACAAGACATTCCCAGGTGAAATGCTTCTCGGCCAGGTATCCACCTGGTCCGCCTCTCTGAGCCTGGGTTTCCCCTCCTAGAAAATGCTGCTGTGACACCCACCGCCACAGAGAGGTGAGGAATAAGAAAGGTGCCGGAGTGGAGGTGCTCTGGGCTCAGTGACAGGGAACTGCATGGTGGGACCATCATCCCGGAGCGTTTCATAGGATGCTGGGTCAGCATTCCAAAAGCATCTTTGCCAGGGACTCTGGTCCTGCGGCTCTGTGACGATCCAAGCTGAGGTTTTCTAAACAGAACAGTTTCCTTTGCCAAGAGTGATCCAAGGGAGCCGAGAGCCTGTCCAGAAAAGCTAAATCACTGCACACATCCACCACGTATAGTTTGCAAGGGATGACTTTGCTAAATTTAATGCCTTCCTCTTTTATTTTGCAAAAGATTAAAACAACACAGATACAAATGAAGCCTCCACCTGGGCCCCCATTAGTTCCTTCCTTGTCTCCCGGGAAGGTTAGCATCTAAGCTTCACTATTGTGGCTGACCCCACAAACCGCATGCAGTGCCTGTGTGGTTATAATTTATATTAACGGCATCGCACTCTGTGTATTACTTTCCAAGTTGCTTATATGATGCAAATTATCTTCTGAGCTTCCTCTATGATGAAGCAGGTAAACCTAGCTCATCAACCGTAAGTGCTATCGAGCGTTCCATCCTACGATCGCGCCACAACTCAGTTACCAGTCCCCACACAGGGCAGGCCCATGTGGCTCTCAGCACTGGAAGCAGCGGCTAGAAAGGGCCACCTGTGATTTGGTTTGGGGGAGGCCTGAGGAGAGGCGGGCAGAGGGCCTACGACATCTCAGCCACACTCAGAGCAGCAGGTGGGCGCCCCGGTGAGCAGGTCAGGCTCATCACATCCACACGCCACATTCTCAGAAATGCAGGAACTGCTCAGGGCTGGGGGTCCTCCCTCCTCCTGAGCAGTTGGCCCCACTTTCAGGGAAGCTTAGTAACTCCTGTCAGCCTAGAAAGGAAGTGGCTGGGCTCCTGTGCACAGCGCAGTCTGCAGAGGGGTCTGTCTCCAGGCGCCCTGAGACCCCTGGTCACCGCTGTCTGTTCTCACCTCCAGGTACCAGCAGCGCAGACGTGAAGGAGAACCGAAATGTGAGCAACCTGGAGGCACGGCCACTGCCCGCGGGTGACAGGGCCCGAGGCGGTGCACCTGGCATGAAGAGGAAAAGGCCCCTGGAGGAGGGCAACAGCGGCCACTTCTGCAAACTGCAGCTGATCTGGAAGACGCTCTCGTGGTCGATGACGCCCAAGAACGCGCTGGTGCAGCTGCACGAGCTGCGGCCCGGCCTGCAGTACCGGATGGTGTCCCAGACCGGCCCGGTGCACGCGCCCGTCTTCGCTGTGGCAGTGGAAGTGAATGGGCTCACGTTCGAGGGCACGGGGCCCACCAAGAAGAAGGCCAAGATGCGGGCAGCCGAGCTGGCCCTGCGCTCCTTCGTGCAGTTCCCCAACGCCTGCCAGGCCCACCTGGCCATGGGCAGCAGCCCCAGCCCCTGCACGGACTTCACCTCCGACCAGGCCGACTTTCCCGACACGCTCTTCAAACAGTTTGAGCCCTCGGCACCCAGTGCAGCCTTCCCGGGCCACCGCCCTGCCCAAATGCTGCGCAGCACGCTGGACCTGGTGGCCCCGGGCGAGGGGAACCCGGTGGTGGTGCTGAACCAGCTGCGGGCCGGCCTGCGCTACGTGTGCCTCTCGGAGCCGGCCGACAGACAGCGGCCGCGCAGCTTCGTCATGGCTGTGAGCGTGGATGGCAGGATGTTTGAAGGCTCGGGACGCAGCAAGAAGCTGGCCAAGGGCCAGGCGGCGCAGGCGGCCCTCCAGGCCCTCTTCGACATCCGGCTGCCCGGCCACATGCCCAGCAGGAGTAAAAGTCACCTCCTGCCCCAGGTGAGAATTCTCAGGTAGCTCCCGGCAGGTGGCATCTCCCGGATGCTAGGAGACCATGAGCTGGGACGGGCAGCAGGCAGCCCCCGCTCCAGTCGCTGTAAGTAGAGAGCGCCCACACGTACCTCTCCCAGAACAGCCAGCTCAGCCCAGGTTCAGACTCACCATTAGAGCATTTGTCAGGCTTAAGGGGAGAGAATCGTGTATATATAAAGAAAGAACGTCAATATTAGGACTTAGCAGAGGGGCGGGGGAAGAGTGAAGGCAGGTGTGTCTGTGGTGACACCCATGTTAGGAAACAGGGCAGGGCAACAGCAGGGCCTATCCCCAGACGGGCTGATAGGGAAGGATAGCGGTATCGGTGGTTCTACCCTTCAGTGATTTGGTTGCTGAGTGTTCTGCAGCAGGAGCACTAGAGGAGGTGAAATGCACATTAGGTAGCAGTTTGGGTGGAGTGTCTCACTGGGGAGTCTGGAGAAAGGGAAGCGAATGTGAATCATTGCCTCAGTCATTCCACCCAGAGGCAGGGGCCTGAGCGGCAGCCGGGATGCCAGCTGCAGCCACACTGAGGGGAGGGTCAGAGGGTCCAACCCTCACCTGGGAGCAGAGGGCTCCAAAGAAGGGCAGCCTGGGACCTGGTGTCAGCAACCTCCCTCCGGCCCTTTCACACCAGCGACAGGTCTGCTTTCTCACGCTGGTTCACTTGCTCATGTGAAGAACACTTTCGTAGCGCCGTCCATGTGTCAGGAACGAGTCTTATCCCTTGTCCTTCCAAGTCTTGTAACTGCTTATATATGCAAATTACCTTCTGTCTTAGCATTTCCAAAATTGCCGGTAGGCATCACTAATGTATTAGCGGCAGGAAAGTCTCTTTATTCACTTTGGTGTCAATCGCCAGAGGAACATAGTTCAAATGCACTCAATGCAGTGCAGGTAAGTCCCCGGTAACTGTGAGGTGTTGCTACCATGGCTGTCCGGATCACCTACCTCACAGCCCCTGGGACAGAACCTGCCATCACCTTGGGAAGCCTCGTATCAGTGGAAGGAGGCAGGGTGCCGCCCAAACCTCAGGGAGCAGGAAGGAGCTACAGCGACCAAACCTAACGCACAGGACAGATGCCTCGAGCTGAGTCACAGTGCTCAGTAAGCACTGATGGGACGGGGGTCCTCTGCTCGCAGCTCATTGAGTGAGGGAGAGAGACCATCCAACAAGAGCCCAATCGAGGGACGGCTGTTTCTCCTGCTATCTCTGCCCCCACCGCCGTCAGTCATTTCCACATATTTGTTGAACCTTCTCAAGAGCGGGTTGCAGGGATTTAGACCATCATTTCCATTGGTCTTGCCTTTCAACCCACCCCCCAAATAACACACAATCCACGTAGAAACAGGGTGTTTGAAAGAAGCTGGGGATCGAAAGTCCCTGAGCACCTCCTGCCAGAAGAATTCAGCTTCATTTCTCCCTCCTGGCACCTCCATTTTTTATTGTTTTCTCTCTTTTTCCTTCTGATCCTGTTTCTCCGTTAACTGTAGCTTAAGCTTGCCACCACGCACAAGGAAGCCACTATGCGCTCCGCAAGCTGGCTGAGCCCAGGTGGCCCAACGCCTCCACATCACCTGTCCTCTCACCTCCTTCTCCACAAGGCCCCCCTGCAGGGCACGCAATAGTGTGTCCCCTCATCTTCAGGCCTGTCGTTCCTGGCGTGGCCACCCCACCAAGGGCCCTCACGGCCCTGCATTTCCTGTTCAGTAAGAAACGCTCGTTCCCCCTTGCACCCACCCTCCGCCCACCCTCCCCAAATGAGCATTGAGGGATGTCATGGAGCTGCAGCTGAGACGTGTTCCTCTCGTGTCGTCACCCCCGAGCTCGCACAGTGGGGGAGCCAGGCAGCACCACTGCTTCGTAACAGTCGTTTGACCCCAGAAAGCAGCACATCAGTTAAAGCCACGGCTGCTAAATTATTTTTCTCTGACAGTCCGCTAACCACCCCGACGGGATGATGGAGGGCTCGGAGCGGCGAGAGGGCTGGGGGCCATCCATCACGCCCAAGCACTGCCGCCCTGAGGCTCGTTATGGGGCCCTCGGCCCATCCCCGGGTTGGGTGGGGCCCAGTGGGTCAGGGGACCCAGGACCAGGCACCACCGGCGGCTTCATTAAATTCCAATCCTGTCTGGCATGCAGTCTGGATGCAGGGACTGATCTTTACAAAGCAATTCCAAGAGTCCCTGTAAAGGCTTCTCTGCTCTCCTGCTTGGCCCAACACTGTCTATGCAGCAGGTGCCTGGGCCGGCTGGTCCGGCTGGTTCAGCTGGTCCTGCTGGCACCGTGGTCCTGAGCTCCCGTTCCCTTCGTCATCCTGCCTAGCTGCACTGTTCGCATCTGCTCGGGGACATCATGTCCGGGCACCTTGTCCTGGCTGGGCTCCCAGAACCACCACTCACACTCCCTGAAGGCAGGTCCCCCCACCACTGACCGTGGAGGACACTCCCATAGGCCACCCGGGGGGAGGAAGACAGCTGACAATGGAGAGATATAATTTCAGGAACTTAGGTACCGGCACCAATATTTAATGTCCTTTGCCCCAAGTCCCGGGTTCTCCCTACACAGGGGACAACAAGCCAAGCGTCTGGTTCTGACACCCGTGTTGTTCACACGTGTACAGAGGCAAACATGTCTCTGCTTTACCCAAAGGCTCGGTCTTGTGTGAATGAAGCTTCAGAAGCAGCCCTCATGTTACCTCTGTAGGGAAGTAATGAAATTAAGTAATGCTATTGCTTTCAGTAGTATCAACGAAAAAACATTTCAGACGTGACAGTGCTTAGGGCAGGAGTGGGCAAACTTTTTGACTCGAGGGCCACAATGGGTTCTAAAACTGGACCGCAGGGCCGGAACAAAAGCATGGATGGAGTGTTTGTGTGAACTAATATAAATTCAAAGTAAACATCATTACATAAAAGGGTACAGTCTTTTTTTTCAATAGTTTTATACATTTCAAACTATTCCGGATCCGGCCCACGGGCCGTAGTTTGCCCATAGCTGGCCTAGGGGCACACACGAAATGCAGGGGGTGCTAGAAGGAGGGCCAGGGACCTGCCCCACAATTCTCAGGCAGGTGGCTCAGACGACTGCACTGCCAGGTAACCAGCCCTTTGGAACCTCAGGGCTCCCGGCCTCCGCCTGGGGAGCAGGGCCAGCAGAGCGGGCTGGACGCTTGCTCATCATCAAGACAATCCTGACTGAGCATCACTCCCAACGCCCCTCAGGTAAAGAGGTTGGTGCCACTGCACTCGTCGTCCAATCACCGACTTTCATCATCCAGAGAAGCAGGCCTCCTCCCGGGTAACACCGCATCCTTCTGCAAGCAGCTTGTTTCCGCCTCAATTTTGGGAGAGCAATTTCTAAAGAATGATGTTCTCCATAAAGATGAAGATCACAGGCTTGGTTTCTCCAGGATCTGGTTCTCACCATCGACTCACTCAGAAGGAGGCTAGTTCTGCTCCTACAGTTTCATGAGATATGGCTTCAGGTCTCAGAGACAGAATGCTGAGGTCAAGGCTTTATTGTTTTTTTTAAACCTCAGTACAGACCTAACTGGGCAGCGTCTACACTGCTCACCCAGTGCTCCAAGAGGCAGCTGGGTCCAGCCCCTCAGACACTTTCTTCATCTACGGTGTTGTCTCCTCTCGCACAGAATTCCTCTCGGTTAACATAATAATAAGACTAAGTCAGATTATAAATGCCCATTTCCTAGAAGCACCACCTTAAAGTAAAAGAAGAAAACCACACAATTTACATCTTTCTCCTTCTTCATTTCCCAGCCCCCAGCATGAGAAGAGTTTAATTCATAACAGCATTAAATTCACCCAGAAAGGCATATCTCTCTGTTCCCTTCCCACGGAAAAGGGTCATTGGGGGAAATAACATACATGTTATGGGAGTAAACAGAAAGTGAGGAAAAGGCAAGCTAACGCTACAAAGGGGGAGACATCATGAAGCATCACCCATTTCTTCTAGGAGGGGCAGAAACCGTGGGATTATATAACTAACGTAAAGGAAACCACTTATTTTTAATTTTCAACATTTCATAGTAAATTGGATCAGAACTCCTGCATGGGCCCCATTCCATGGAGTCCGCCCCCAGAATTAGCTGCCGAGTTAGATGGAGGACTGGCTCTTGCTCCACGCGTGACAGCTGTGCTGCAGGCGCTCACAGGATGGTTGCAAAAATTCGGTTTCCTTCTTCCAAACACCAGGGTGCCAGCTGCCTCTGGTCACTTGACAGGCTGCCTTTCCAATCCCGTACTCCCGCTGATCTACTAGCTGAGTAGATGCAGCACCATAACCGCTGTCACAGGACTGGTCATTAATATTGCTGTAACAGACTAGCAGTAGAGGGTCCTCAAATTTTCAATAAGCTTCCATTAAAAGTGATTTGATGTGGACGCCACACACATTGGGCCTCACACTGCCCGCTCTGTGCCGAGGACACCCTGGAACAGCGGCCGATGCCACAGCGACATCCCCTGCTCGGCCAGACCTTCACCAGGTCCCTGTTCCTTCAGAAGCACTGATGGCAGGAACGACAGTGACAGGTACTTCACTGTCATTGCACATGGAAATTTCTTCTAAAATCCCTCCCTCCTGAGGGTTTTGTAGGCCTTGTAGATCCTTAACAGTACATTTATACAATATACTAGAGACTCAGTGCATGAAATTCATGCACAGGGGATGGAGGGGGGTGGGGCAGTCCTTCAGCCCTGCCTGCACCCTCTAACAATCCGGGACCGCTGGCTCCTAACCGCTTGCCTGCCGGCCTGCCTCATTGCCCCTAACCACTCTGCTTGCCTGCCTCATTGCCCCTAACCACTCTGCCTGCCTCATCGCCCCAACTGCTCACCTGCCTGCCTGATCACCCCTAACTGCCTCTGCCTGCCTGCCTCATTGCCCCTCATATTACACTTTTATTATTATAGATATGAAGTGTTATATAATAAATATTTAAACAATATACATTTACACAATG